TATAGATAACTAATATTTTGCAAATGCAAACCACAATGTACTATCTTTAGTCTAGAGACAGTATAACACCAATCGTAGTCCACATTTGCAAAATATTAGTGAGTTTTGAAACCTATAAAAAAGAAAGTGTCGCAACCGATATGTCCATGACTGTACATGTGTGTAACAACTTTATAAAATTAGTTTATATCATTGATATATAACGCATAATGTATAAAATAATTGTATAATACAATAATAAATAATAATAATAATAATAATGGATTGATCTTCTAGGTAATCTGTGTAGATGTACAGGATATAGACCGATTATAGAAGGATTTAAGACCTTTACGGAGGAATGGGAACGATCGCAGTTGATGGCCAACGTACAAGAAGAAGAAACAAAAGGTACAGGAGTTTGTTCAATGGGCGATGCTTGCTGTAAAAAGGTTTTCACGTCTGAACCAACCGAAATTTTCAATTCCAAAGAATTCCGCCCATATAATCCTACTCAGGAACCAATATTTCCACCAAAATTAAAAGTAAGTTACCGCTGAAAATATTTTGAATCAATTATAATGTGTTATAAGGTGGTACAAACTACAAAATAAAAATAATATCGCTGTTTTCTTTGTATAGATTGAATCTAAGCTGGATGAGCAATATCTGGTAGTGAAAGGAAGAGATGTCAGTTGGTATAGACCAACGAAATTCAAGACATTGCTTGCGCTTAAAGAAAAGTATCCGAATGCTAAAATTGTCATTGGTAACACGGAAATCGGTTCGTATATTTTTTTTTCAAATACATAATTACGATATCAAGATGTAAAAAATTCAGGAGGTAGATAGTGTCTCGGTATCAAGTTAGCCCATAAACGAAATTGACAGTGTATGTTTACCCAAATAAGTTGCGAGCATCCCCAAATAGCACAGTACGTCCTCAGGATCATCCTGAATATGTCCCAGGACATCCTGGGACATTTTGAGGACATTCATATATCCACGGGATGTCCTCGGGACATCCTTAGGATACCT